TTGAGAAAGTATGAGTACATGAAATTTAATGTTGGCATGTGGCCTGATTGGCGGACACCAATAGATTTTTAGTAAGAAATTCTGGCTTGACACTATTTGTCAAACTGATCGTGCCTGATCTTTGTGGCCATGCCAGGTAATCAAATACACAGGCGGGAATCAAGAATGCCAAAAAAACCACCGTTGATAGCGATGATACTTACCAAATATCATAATCATTTTACATATAACATACCATTCGTAATGATCAATTATGTATACAACATATATAAGTGCGCATATAAACAAAACGCTTAAACGTTCGGAGGTAACATTTTCGGTGAATCATTTGGAGTACTCGACGGAGATTCCGACCAAGTAACGTCAGACGCTTGTGTCGTATCACAAATCGACGATGAGGTACCACGGGCTAAAAACGCTTGCTCTTTCTGTCGTTTCTTCTCCTTCATTCGCCTATTTTGAAACCATATTTTCACCTGAAATTGCTGCGAATTTATTTCGTTGACTTTATTTGCAAATCATTTCCAAATGTTTTTCTGACATACTGAAGATATTCAGTTACTGAATATACTCCATTCGAATGATACTTTTTCATTAAACACCTTCGAATTTCTATCATTAATCATTGTGTTGCTGTTGAACCTCCACTGGAGGTTTCTCGTTTCACTTTGCCTGTATGGTCGATCAAACAATCTATGAAAAAATTCTGCAACTCAATCAATCGAATAAATCAAGTTCTCTTTCTAGTTGCATTATAGAAACTCTCACTATCAGAGCATTCACACATAATATGTTCGGCAGCAATGAATGAATTCAAAGACAAAAATTTCGAAATTCTCCATAATTTAGACAAATTTTCAGAATTGCTCAATGTTTCACGACTTAATTTTTGGTAATGATAATGTTTGCAGTGGGTTATAGCGTTGAACAAAAGCCGTCGTCACACATCGGAAAATCGAATGAAATGCTAAAAATAGGCTGACGGTGAGAATATTGTTGTCGTATATAAGGGGTAACAAACGATCGAGTTTATCGAGTTTAATAAAAGAACACAACTCTCACTAGCACTAGCACACTAGCCATCACTCACTATTCGTCTTCGTGAATACCGACGGACGGCGGCCAACAATCACAGCAGCCATCACACAAAAGTGAATCGAAACTCGTGATGTCGGCGTTTTCTTTTTTAAGTTTTTCTTCACATTTTTACTACAATCAATCGCAATACGCGAATGCATCCATTTAAATTCTCCTATTCATTGAGTCGTCGTCGTCGTTTTATTGATATCACTGATGATACACATACACTCCACCTACCAACAAAGCAACTCTCATCGATCATTCTCTTAGAAAGTTTTTGAGCAAAAACAAATACCGCCGACATCTTTTGAGTTTGCTTTTGTGAAGATGACAGTTTAAGAGAATGGAACACAATATAGTTTGTTTCACTGGAACGTTCGTCGTCGTCGACAGCGAAATTTTTTCAAATGTTTAACCGAAATTGATTTTATTCGGACGAAATATTACAAGATATTTTTGTCAACTTTAATGAAAAACGAGTTCATTTCGAGAATGCTCGAGATTGATTTCAAAACCACAACTGAATTCATAGACAATAGTGAAGATGCTCCAGGCAATAGATCAAGCCGGGGTATTATCAACAGACCACATTTCCTTGCTATGATACTGTTCACATTAGTTCTGCAATTGCATAGCTTGCATCTTCAAGCTATTTGAATCTAAAGGTGATTCTGGTGGTTGTTTGATCAGTTGGAACTGATCTGAGGANTGAGTTACCTGAGTTTCATTGAGTTGCAAAAATGAAGCGATTTCAGCTCGTCGGGTTCTGTTCAAATATTTCGACGTATAGTACTCTTTTTCGAGCTCAGTTAATTGATGTGTTGAGAAATTGGTACGGTTCACATTCGAGTCAGCGATGACACGCCGTTTCGGTGCTGTAATCAGATAATTTATCGAAGGCGCTACTGCGACTGTTTGCTGACTATTAGATAACTGCTCATTTTATTCAGTTCAGCGACATTCGATGAATTTATTATCAAATGTTTAATATTCGCTGTTCGTTCGTTCAATATCGTTCTCCATTAGTGTATGTGTTACTTTTGGGATGCAGCTGCAATCTGCTGAAAACGATGAAGAACAAGCAGGAAAACGAAGAACGAAAACGTCGTCCGTGACTGCGAGAACAGGTATGAATGAGTTTGAAAAATGACACCATTCAAACACTGATGCGTGAAAAACAAAACGACAAAATTCAGTTGCATTTGCAAAAAATTCTCTGATTTTTATCGACATCACGTGTCATTTTATTGGGTTATTTTTTAAGTGTTCGCCGAATTTGTTGATATCAATTGACAGTAGATAAACTTTTGAGGTTATATTCATACGATAACAATCGCAGGTCAATGGCATCATTGCTTATGCTTTAATTGTTCAAGCATCGGTGTTTCGCACTGTTTCAAGCTACTAGATTCAGTTTCAAATTGCTGGTGAATAGGTGAATCAAGGGAGAACATGGAACAGATGAATACATTGAAGAATCATTAACATAACAGGTTTTCGAGACTAAAGTAGCAAAATTACTGAAATTTGGTAATAAACAACTTTTGAGTAAAAGAAGATATGTGATCCTCTATTCGTCAATATTCAACGGTATTACTGATATGAGCAAATGAGTTTAGCGTGATGATATCACACTGGCAGCACACATCACTCTCTTAACCTACAAAACAATCTGGCTAAGACAGTTGTTTTTGCCCAGATTGATTTACCACCGTTTGATAGGTTCATAACCTCATAATAAATAACGTTAACTGAATATATTTTATATTCTCATAATGACACGATTCATCATCTAATGTGTGTACTACCATCGATTCGTCGTCCTTTATCGATCTTCATCGTGATAACTCATCCATCGTGGAAAGAAAACTGAGAAGATTGACCAAAATATTAATTGAAATTGATCACGATCAGTAAAAAAAAAACTGGAACTTCATTCCAAAATCGCATCATTCCGTGTCAGTCAATTTAGATGTATTAGATTCAGTGATCTGGCATGACGATGAACGATCATCTCATCGCAACTTTTCTGCTGATTATGGAACTTTACTCCTCGAACTGCAGTAAATTCTGTCGGAATCAAAAGCGTTTTCAATGAATCTAATCACTCATCATTTCGAAAGAAAATGTTGGTTGTTGTGACAATGATAATGAGGATAATGTGGATAATAGACATTGAAGTGCTTCTATAATGGTCCGAAAATTACTCATATGTAATTCATACAAATGAATCACATAACATTCCATTATTCTAACAATTAGTTTCGTTCGTCAACATTCACCACGATGAGAAAGCAATAAATGTTACTTATTGCAATTGGCCACATTCGAGTGATTAATCGCTAACCGAAAGTTGAGTTCTTCGGAGGAATCATTAGGTAATTTTGCTGTTTTCAAGTAAACTAGACCAATAACAATAAAACCTGTTAAGACATGAGGATAAAACAATAAATCAGCAGAATTGAAGCCGTTTGAAATCAGATAAAACAAAATTGAATTGAGCACAAATAAAGCAGAAATGATTACCTGCAGTCTTGGTGTGGGTACGTCGCACATGCATCCATTTATATGTGCTTGGCTGTTGTTGGTGGTGAGTATTATTAGCGGTGTTATTTGTAGTACTAGTATTATTGCTAGTATTACAGTTGAAATGATGATTGATATTATTATGATTAGTATGATTAATGGTCGACGTCCATTGCTGTGAAGTGGACGGTGGTGGAGCATATGAGGGTGATATTGACGAGGACGAAGTGGTGGACGATGCGGCCGCGATATAGCTACTAGAGCTGAGGTGATAGGGCTGCGTGGAAGTCCATTCTGGATAATAGTTCGACGGATGATTCAAATGCGGAGTCGGTTGAATATTACTCAGATACGATTCAGTACAGCTCATCTAGAATTTATGATTATTATCATTATCATTATTAATGTTACATCATTACTTTTATAACATTGATATTTTTTGAAACGATTACCGTTCTAATGATTATTAGTATATAATTAAAAGGAAGATGATAAATTAATTTTATTATCTGTTTAACCTATAATTCATCAACAATATAACAACAACAACAGATATAATACGCACCACTTTATGGGGCTATAAATCACCTTAAGTGTGCATCTTCTATCTATTTTGATATCATCTATCATTCGTCTGCACATCTTTCTCTCCGTGTCTTCGTTACGTTTCATTCACTGCTTATCTGCTTTTTGCACACTCTCTGGCATTCTTTTCATTCCAATCTCTCGATGATGAATGATTGTTAAAGGGCGTTTCTAAAATCCCATAAATCAACCAATCATTTTATTTATTACTACTGTATTATATACTCATCTCCGCAACCCATCGAATCCACATCATACACTTCTCTATCTACTTCTCTCTCAATTTCTTCAGCAGCAGTTCAGATTGCTGCTCAAGTAGTTGCAGGCATTGATTTAAGATGCTCAAAGAAACACGTAAAGATAATGCAAAATTATCAGAGTAGATGATCAAACGCTGCAGACATACTTGCTATTTAGTGCATAGCTGCCGTATTGTTTTGTTGGTGAGTTTTCTTCGAAGCAAATTGCATTCATGCAAGAAGCAAATGACTGAAGCAAAACAGAAGGTAGGTATATGCTCGTTTCGTGTACACACATACGTTCAGGTGTACGCATGAGAAAGCTGATTCTGTATAAACCGACTAACCACTAGCGAAAGTCCATAAGAAGTGTGTGCAGTATCATTGATCCTATTGATGGCCTGTATGTATTATTCATCATATATAATCCATCATCATTTCCAAATATCCACGCATTAATATTTCTACATATTCACCAATTTAAGCTTACATGTTGTGTGCATCATCATACATGTTCTACTTTGCTTTGTATTGATCATGAAGTGGATGTACGAAAAGGAAGGATAACAGTAAGCAGCGTTCGTCAGCAATAAAGAAGCAGCAATAAGAAGTACAGAGCGAAACTGGTGAATGCAATTAATCACTATCACTATCATTACCGTTCCGTTCCATTTAATCGCATCGCCAAGTGATTTTGTGTGCTGTGATTGTGATCACCGAATCGATTCAATAAATCAATGTGAATCAAACCGATCATCACATTAATCTGTTCAAGAGAACCAACCCAATGCTAAATTATCTCTTCGGCAGCAACACCATCAGTCAACTCAGCAACCAATAGCCAATAACAACCAACAACAATTAGCCAATCTATAATCAAATCATTTCAATCGAATTTCACATCGAACGCGGCCGATGCCACATCGACTGTATAACTGATTCTACAAGCTGGTTAGGTGGACATTTTCTTATTCTTATATTTTTCAATTCCAATTTCAGTCGACTTCTTCGCTACATTACCACTTCAGCTTCAGCGAACCAAACCCTTCCTTTGTCCGTTCGTCATTCGGACATTTCACTATTATGGGTGCTCATCAGCAGCTCACTAGCATGCCACCAATGAAACTTCTAAGTGACCAAAATCTATAGGATTTAACGCATAGAGCCAACGCGGCTAGCTTGTCTTTTTTCACGGTGAGACTAATAGCAAGTCCGTTTCCATTGCGATGCTGCTGTGAACGTCAAATTCGATCACTAGATCAAATCGAGGATCGAGTTAATTTTGACTGAGTTGTTGCATTAGCGGGTACCTTAGAAACGGAATCGCGTACCACACTGTTTCCACAATTCACTAATTGCTTTGCATCAGCAAGATATTAGTTCCATATCATCTTAAGCTTCTGTACTAGTTTGCCTTCNTCTGCAAATTCAAAGTAGTAGTCTTGTATTATCCCATATCTCTTACCTAGTCATGTCGCATTGTTATTCCAATTTATGCATTGTTTCTGAATGGCATATCCATTGCTTGAATGTAGATGGTAACACAATGGAGATTGTTTGCGTTCATTGACTGCCATGTGATCGATCAGCTTTTCATCTCAGCTAAACTATTGTGAACCTTGACTGACGCCTAGTAAGCTGTTTGAAATGATGGAATTTCAAGATATTTATAGTGAAATGAAGAATGTGTATTATGATGAGAGTGATGTGTTGTTGAATGAAACGGTTAGGTGATGTACTTTAAAGGATGTGTTGATGATGATTGTTGAAAGAGTTGTTGCGATTGTGATTCAACAACGATACAAGGGAACAAGACGGCAGCAGCTGCAAGTCCTCGGTCACATTTCGCTGTACGGCCATCGAAACGCCGCTTTACTGGGGACGAACCATCGCTAAAAACACGCAACTGGTTCTTGCTCAGATTTCAATCTCCGTGTGTTACATGAGAATCTCTTCTCAACTTTACTGCCTGCATTGAACTGGAAAGTTCACCGGATTTTGAAGCGTTTTAATTTTCAGCCTTTATCACCTCGACGAAAATATTTCGTCGAATTTGATTGCTTCCTTAGCCGGTGAATCAATTTTGTGTTCAGTTTGTTTATCAGTTTATTCATCTGTGCTTTGTGACGCAATGATTANTTTCATTGCTCACATCCGATCAACTCTCTAAACATTAACATTATTGTGTATGATTTTAATAAGGTTACCATTACTCTATCTCGTCATCATCAGCGCTATTTCAATTTTGCCTTTAATTTATCGTCATCACCAAAATACTAATATTGTGAATTATACCGTATTAACGCCGCATAGCGAATCGCTATTTCAAGTTGTACTTTTGTACTGTTTGTGAGCGCAATTACTCGAAAATGACAGTTTTTGATGCCCTATTTGATGCTATCATATCAATAAGGTGAACGTATACGGTAAGTGAAATGACCTAGAGATAGAGCAAAGATTATCTGATAGGTTGAGGTTGGTTTGTGGGCAGCGATGAGTGTAACAAAATTTGTTGTTGTCATCACCAATTAAGGCAATTTCATCAATCTGCATCAATATTTACTCTCTAATTATCAAGGTAAGAACGACAACTGAGGTAAGAATGATCGTTCTTGATCACTTCCAAAATTGTCAATTTGTCATGAACCCAATCTTGTTTTGCCTCAAAGTACACTCCACAAATATTCTAATATTCTCCATATTACATCATATTCTATCAACAAACACTGTTTCGTTGATCTATCGTTCCTTTGCATGCCTTCAATTGACAAATTTTATTCGCTTGCTTGCAGTTGAAATAATATTGAAATTGTCATCGATAATAACTGATAGTTATGACTCATAACTTATTTGCATTATGTGAACTGAAAGTATTCCAGCTATGAGATTGTCGGTACTGAAAAATTGTTGATTTTGAAATTTTTAATCCAATGAAATAGATTATTAAAAAAAGGAGAGTATCTGCGTGCAATATTATCAGCACAATTTTCAACATAAAAAGAGGTTAATTTTTGCTGCAATCGCCTACTTCAACTGATTCGTTCGCATTTTTCTTTTAAC